TTTGGCCAAGTTGAGTGAATAGACATGGAAAATGAATTATAATATGGATAAAAGTGAGGTTATCCACTTTGGTAACAAAAGTAGGAAGGCAGATTATTATCTGAATAGGAGAGGGAGAGGGGCAATGAGACCTGAGTGTTCTTGTACACCAGTCACTGAAGGCAAGCATGCAGGTGCAGCAGATGGTGAAGAAGGCAAATGGTATGCTGGACTTCCTAGCTACAGGATTTGAGTACAGAAGTTGGATTTCTTGCTGCAATTGTATAGGGTCTTATTGAGACCACATCTGGAGTATAGTGTGTGGTTTTGGTCTCCTTATCTGAGGAAGGAAGTTCTGGCTCTGAAAGGAGTGCAACAAAGGTTTACCAGGCTGATTCCTGGGATGGCAGGACCAGCAAATGAAGAGAGACTAGATTAGTCAGGATTATATTGATTAGAGTTTTGAAGAATTTGCGGGTGGGCTGGGAGTTGTCTCATAGAAACCAATAAAATTATTTTAAGGCTAGATATGGTAAACACAGGAAGTATGTTCCTGATGACCAGGGAGTCCAGAACTAGGCTTCACAGTTTAAAGATACAGGGCAGGCCATTTAGGACTGAGATGAGGAAAGATATTTTCACCCCAGAGAGTGGTGAAACTGTCGAATTCTTGCTATAAAAAGGAGTTGAGGACAAAACATTGAATGTTTTCAAGAAGGAGTTAGTTATAGTTCCTGGTGCTAGAGGGATCACAGGACATGGGGAGACAGCAGAAACAGGGTATTGAGTTGGATGATCAGCCATGATCATATTAAATGGCAGAACAGGCTCAAAAGGCTGAATGGCCTACTGCTGCTCCTATTTTCTATGTTCCAGAAGGCAACTTGGAGAGGAAAAGAAAAATATTTTTTACCTAACAGAGCAAAAAGAGGCTACATATCATAGGAGACTTCAAACTACATGGCTGCAGCTGAACTGTGGAAGGGTTGTCTGGCTATTGAGACCACTTTAAATGTACACATCTTACAAGTTGGAACCAGCATGCCTCAAGATGGAAATGCCCTTACTCTCTCTCTAAACTGCTCTGCCAGCTAACTCTTGCCAAGGTGAATAACCTACAGCTTCAAAAGCTTTAATTAGAGAGTGAACCTGCCCTTTAGCCACTAATTGTCGAAAATCATAGCCAGGCGACTATTACCCCATAGTGGAGGAGGACCGTGACCACTGACTTTGGAATCTGGAAGCAAAAAGTGAAATCTTATTCTACTATTCTATTGAGGAAAACTCATAATGAAAGCTCTAGTTCTGCTATAGTTGTGCTTATGGTAGAAGTTGTCATTAATTAAATTTGAATATGGGTAAGGGAATATTTAGCACTGGCAACTTTTTGCATAGCTTAAAACAAACAAGAAGTGAATTTTGACATAATGAACTGATATTTATTTTGTGCAAGTTTGTGTTTTCTTCACTATCACGATCAGTCTCTCCAGTAGTCAATTACTTTGTTTCTTTGAAGAGTAATAAAGTTTGCTTTTTTTTTCAATTATTCATGTGATGTTGGCATTGTTGGCAAGGCAAGTATTTTTCCCATCATTAACTGACCTTTAAGAAGATCTGTAATCTTGATAAGTTAATGGGCTGTATTTCATAATCTGGTATATCATGTCTTTAGATATTAGGTTATAACTTTAGGGCTGTGGTTTATCTGCAACTTTTTGATTCTGGTTAATCCATTAATTTAGCAACCCAAGATACTTCCTACAGTTTTTTTTTTAAAAATCTACTGAGAATAACTACTTTTCACACACAGAACAGGTTTTGACCTTACCAATCAACTTGTCTCAAAGAGAGTAAAAAGTTCATCAGCTGCAGATAGAATGTTAATTGTTGAAAACATGTCAATGTATCTCTGCATCAGAAAAAAATATAGTGAAATAAAGTTGATGCTTTACTGTCTGGAAGGGTCACTTTACATGGCAAAGAAATCTATATCTGTGCAAAACTGGAGAGAGGCACAATGGTGCATGGGCAATTGATCAAAATAAGCAAAGTGGTGAGAAGTGAAGCACAGGATTGGAATTTTAAAACTGCGCTTGCAGGACAATTGTGCTGTTTATTTTCTAAAAGCTTATGTGGGAGAAGGAAAGAGTAAGGTATAAAGGTAAATGTCAAGATATGCATACCACAAAATCTTCACCACTCCTTTCTGTGATACATCAATAAGTCAGAATGCTGGTGTGCAGCCTTCTTCCTTCTATCACACAGTCTCTTGGAAATAATGCCTGGGTTTCCACACTATAAGTAGGCATTTTAGTTTGGGTTTTTCCTATACAAGCCATTGATCTATTTGTATGGTCTTCCACCTGCAGCGTTATTTTTACAACATTGCTAAAAGCTTGTGGACTAGAAGAAGTGTACAGAGAGGAAAGTCTGGCAGCATCTGTGAAGGAATAAACAGAGTTAACGTTTCGGGTCCGGTGACCCTTCCTCAGAACCTCTGAGGAACCGAAACGTTAACTCTGTTTTTTACCTTCACAGATGCTGCCAGACCTGCTGAGCTTTTCCAGCAACTTTGGTTTTTATTCCTGATTTATAGCATCTGCAGTTCTTTCAGTTTTATTTGTACTGAGAGGAAACTGGGCAAATTGCGACAGAATCAAACTGTTTACTAAAACCACACCTGACCGTTGAAGGCTCTTAATATTTATAGCATATCTTAATACTATCTTAATATCTCTTAATTTGTTTTAAATAAATCTGTGTGTTTTATCTGTGTATCCATGACCAATTTTTCCACAAGACTTAGGAAACAAACCATTAGAACAAACTCTGTTTTTACAGTAAAGTCCTACATTATAACACAGAGTGCAATACAAAACCACTCTGGAATAACCTGACGTTGCTTAAAAACATTGCATGTATACAAGAAAGAACTCATATTCTTGAAGTGTGGCCTCATTAAAACATATAATTTTCTGAGATGGATAGATGCTGAGGGATGCTTCCACTGGCTGGGATGTCTAAGACTAGGGGCATAGTCTCAGAAGAAGGGGTCAGACATCTGGGGCTGAGGAGAAAGTTACTCACCCAGGCAGTGAGTTGTTATAACATTCCCAGACTAGAGGTTTGTGGAAATGTAGTTTTTGAGTATATTTGAGACACATATGTGACAAAACTTTGACCACTAAAGGAACCAGACAGGAAAGTTTAGATTTCCAGTGGATCAGCCATGATGTAAAAAGGAAGGCACAGGTTCAAAGGGCAACGTGTCCTACTCCTAGCCATCTTTCTCATTCTAAGTTTGTTTTTGTTTTCATTCTCTAAGTGGAATCTGGCACAGAAACTGGTATCTTTTTTTCCAGCGGTATGTGATGTAAATTGTGGCATTTCTATTACTATTTATTGCAATTTTGTGTTTCTGATTCTTGAGTTAGAAACTGGTGGGTTTTGTGCATATTGGAAATTAATTGTTCACTTTTTGCTACTGTTGCGAGTTCTTTTTAACCAGTTTTTGAAGTCCAGCTTTAGAAGTAATAGATTTTTATGTACATTGGTAGAGATTTTATGACCAAACAGTTCAAAAGGTCAGGAGTTTTTTTTAAGCTCAAGGGAAACACTATAGCTTTGAGTGAGTTTTTTTTAGTTTCACCTCGAGGCCTTGGAATAGGTTGTATAAAGCATACTTCTGAGAAAGGAAGGATTATATAAAGAATTATGTTACTTTAGTCTAAGAACTGTATTGGTGTAAAGCCCTGAAGCAGTTTCTTTAAAGACCACACATTTAAGAAAATGTATAATAGCTCCAAGAAGAAACTATCTGCAGTTTCAGTCTAAAAGTTGAAATCATAAATAACTTAAACTCCCACAGTGCTAGATACAAGGACTCGAGTGTGAGTATTGTATGAGTGGTATTTTGATATTGTACCAAGAGTGTGTTTTGGGTACTGTACAAAATCAGTTCTGAGGAAGGGTCACCGGATCCAAAACATTAACTCTGTTTTTCCTTCACAGATGTTGCCAGACCTGCTGAGCTTTTCCAGCAACTTTGTTTTTGTTCCTGTTTTGTTTCTGTCCTATTTGTGAAGGTGCATTTTGGGATTAATGGGATTATACTTTTATTGTGCGTTTAAATATCTTTGAATTTGTGCTATAAGTAGATGATTTCATTTATTCTATTCTATCTTTTCTTTTGTTAACAAACTTCCATTTTATTTGGAAAACAAAACATGCAGCACTGTATGCTTGTTTCAGCAAAGGATTGTTTTGTTAGAATTAAAACAAGTCAAAACATGATGTGTCCAGTAATAACATCAACTTGGATCATAATAAGTAGAGCTAAATTTCACACAACCAGGAAATTGTGCTCTGTGTTTGCAAATTCTGTGAAGCACAAAAAAAGTGCTGAGATTGTAGCTCATTCACAGTCATGTATCTTATGTTGACTTATATCGTTGGTTATCCATCTTTGAACTTGAGGCATAATTAGTAGATGTGCAACTTAGTAATAATTCAGGATAAATATCCCAAAGATCCCATTAAAAGTACATTTGAAATGACTTTTTTGTGTGTTAAGTAGCACTGTCATCAAGAGTTTATATCTTGAAATATATTTTACAATTTTAATCTGCAGAAAATAAATTAATGACTTCATCTCAGTGGTTATGCCTAGGAGTTTAATTTTGTTTTCATTTAAACATAAATGCAAACTGCATTAAGGAAATGTTATAATGCTCAACTCATAGTCTTCTCAAAGAGCTGGTGGCTTTTCAACAGAAATTTCACAAGCGTGACAGCCAAATTATACACAGTAAAGTCCCATAAATAACAATAAGATAATGCTCGGAGAATCTGTCTTTTTTAAGTAATGTTGATTGAGAGAAGAACATCATGTTCTTTTTCAAATGGTGGTGTGAATTTTTAACATTCACTTGTGAAATCAGACAGAGCATTAGTTCAACACCTCATGCACCACAAACAAAACTTGAACCCACAAACTTCTGACTCAAACAGCTAAAGTGCTGTCTACTGAACCACAGCTGAGATTGAAATTGAATAGAACACATGAGCTGGATTTTCAACATCAGGAACCTGTAGTTGGGATCAGTTCCAGGATCCAATGCCGCAAGGAGTTTTCCAGACACATCTTCCCAGGCTTTGAGAGGAAGGACGAGGTCATTTACTTGCAGGGAGCAGGTATGCCATGTGATTAAGGATAGTTAGTGGGAGGCCCTTCAGTAACAACACATCAGAACCTCACTGGCAGTGGAGAGGGGGAAGAGGGGCACTTCAGCATGGACACGCTCTCTGAAGAATAATCCAATTTTGGTTGAGTGGCAGTCCTTCCATTGGACATAGGGAGCAGTGTCCCATGCAGGATTAATCAAGGCTCCCTCTGCCTCCAACTTTCACAATGTGAATCCTGCATGATTGCCTTACCATTCTCCATACTGATCTAACTTTCTGAGGTTGCAGATTGGAGGATCTGCTGTACTGCACACAGAACAAAACTTTTCATTGTACTTAGGTACATTGACAATAATAAATCAAATCAAATCAGATCAATTGGCTACCTGCCACTTGCCAGCGGGATGCCGCTTTAAAAATGACTCGAGATCAGGATCATGGTGACAAATTGGCATGATGGGTGGAGGTGTGCAATTTAGGGCCTGCCTTCCTGCCAACCTTTAATCCTGATGCTGATCTGCTTGTAGGAACAATTTGATATATATTATTGGGCTACAATAGTGTCTCAGTTGAATTCAAAGTAATGTTCAACACACTGAGGAAATAGACTTCACACAGTCAGTCCTTATTTTGTAAGGATTTTCATAACAGAAACATGCAAACAGACTGACTGTGAATCTTTAAACGTAACTTTGTAGCTGTTTGTGTGGGCTGGTGAAGCTACTATTGTGAATTCTTGCAAATGAAATAATTTTCCACATTTTGCCATCCAGTGGATTTTTATTTCTACCTAACCAATGCTCAACCATTGATGGACTTCAGTTAATTCACCACAGATCAGATATCAAACGCTGGGGGCTTCCTAATCTGGAGGTCATCTGCTCATTGGAGAATATGACAGCAGTAATTTCCAATGCTGTATGACATTGTTGTTCTACGTGCTGTGACATCCTGCTCTTGAGTAGAACTCCTTTCGAACCATATTCCAAAGGAAAAGAATATTTTAAAAATCAGAAATCTAATTCAGAACAAATTTGGCAAATGCATGAGGTGCTCTATTTTTAATGAAGCTGTCCTGGATAATTTCTGGTCATCAGATGTGATATTGCTGGAGTAATCAAAACATCACTGGACAGGGTTCTATTCCTATTGACATCAGTGAGAAATGTGTTTATGTGGTATTGCTTCCAGTAGTGCAATACAGACTTGTATCGATTCCAGAGGTGCAGGCAGTACAATGTAATAGCTGATAGCAGCTTATCTGCTGTCTGCCTGTGGGGATCAGCACAATGCCACTAGATGTTGTGCCAGTCAAACAAATTCCTTTCCCTGTTGAGACTTTTCAAAACCTGTGTGACTGGCATGAGAACCATTTGCACATGGTTTTATCCTATCCCTCACATCAATAGCCAAGTATACAAATGCAGCTCTTTAAGTCCCATTGTTAAATTTTGTGTATAGATCATAACATAGCAACAGCAGCTATCACAAAGAGGTAACCATGCTGGTCATGAGCATTACTTCCAGACTTTCAGTAGGAACAAAAGAAAATCAAAGGGAGCCATTTTCTCACCAAACCTTTGGTGTAAATTCCCATCAGTTAATGCATAATTGGCTTTACAATTGCTTTTTTTTTGATATATAGATCAGAGAACTTTTACTGTAATGCACAGAGACTCACATTCACTCACAGACCTAGTTGGGTTTAAAGAAACATCACAAGTAAGCACACAATGGCTTTGGCAGGATGTTGTCAATGTTGTATTGACTTTTATTCCTTGTAGTTTTAATCACCCAAACAGAGAGCGAATATGGAACATGTTGACACAACATTGTTGTATAACAAGGAACAGGTTATGCTGACCGTTGTGAATGACCTATCCTAATAGCAACAGTCGCAAAGCCTGCCACAGAGAGGCAAAAATACAAAGCACTTTTGATCAGTTGGCATGACATGGATATTGGATTAAGTTACTTTTCAAACTTCATTCCAGAAACTATGAATTGTGTTTTCACAACTATTTTAAAAAAAAATGTGAAAAAGGCGAGCAGAACTTAGGTTAACAGACAGCCTATTTCGGGGAAATGTGGTTAAAGAGTAGAATTTGTAAATCAATTTGAAAGGATGCATGGCGTGTGCTCCTCCTGTTGTGGGAGTTCTTCCATTGGCTTTCTGGCGAGGGCAACATGAAAAATAGGAATGGGGCAGGCTAAACGGCCTGCCCTGCTGTTCAATATGACTTTCCACCTCATCTCCACTTTCCTGTCTCATCCTCACTTTCCCTGTCTCTTTTAGTGACCCTTTAGTGAAACAGTTTTGACCCTTGCTTTGAATGTATAAAATGATTGAACCTTCACAATCATCTCTGTCACACTTAGCAGACTCCTTACCTGCTATCATGCCCCTTCATTCTAGACTCTCTAACCAAGGGATACAGCCCTCATCTACTCTGTTAAGCCATCTCAGAATTTTCTACACTTCAATGAGACTACCTCTGAATCTTCTGAACTCTGAAGGATACAGGATGATCCCATTTTAAGTAGTAGATATGTTCCTGAATACTTAAAATGAAACTACTTGTTTAGAAACCAGGTTTTCCCATTAAAGTGTATGTTATATCAGCAGAAGCATTCCCACCCTGAGATTTTAAAGCCCAATAGGGTCAGTAAATGTGAAATAACTGAATCACATTGTATTTAACTTTTTGATATTACCCACGATCTGGCAATGAACCAACATTAGAATGTTTTTATTTTCTGATTGCCCTATAATGAATAAATATCCTCAAAGTCTAGTGGCATAGTTTCAAGATATCAGTTTCCTCATTATCATTCCATTTTTTTACTTGTTCGTGGGATACGGACTTCACTAGCAAGGCCAGTATTTATTGCCCATCCCTAATTGACTGGAGGGCTGTTAAGAGTCAATTACATTGCTGAGAGTCTGGAATCACATGTAGACCAGGCCAGGTGAGAACATCAGATTTCCTTCCCTATAGGACATTAGTAAATTAGCCGTGTTTTTACAACAATCAACATTGGTTTGTTGTCTATGATTGCCATTTAGACTAGCTTTTTAGTTCAATTTTAACTATTGAATACAAATTTTACCATCTATCATGGTGGGTTTCAAACCCATGTCCCCAGAACCTTAGTCTGGACTTCTGCATTACAAACCCAGTAACATTGCCACTACGTTGCTATCTCCCCATTAATAATGTTAATTTAATTGATCCCATTGTTGCTATGAAAAATGCAGACTTCTTGTTGCGGGTTTATAAGAATGTGTTCTTGGCCATTTTTGTTCTTAGTGAAGAATACTCCAGGATGGCAAGGAGGAGACAAAAATACTCAGCCAAAAAATTTAGAGAATGGGAAAACAGCCTACTCATTGATTGATCCAGCCTACAATACATTTGCACCCACTTCCCACTATTTTATAACTGGATAAAACCAATAAAAAGGGAGCAATTTTTAAAATTTCTTTGTATAACTATTCTATTCAGAATTTGCTACATTGACTACAAAATGGGGATTGCTGTATAAGCATATTCTAGTTGATAGGACTTAGCTAACTTCCACTGATTGGCTAAATAGGGACCAGAGTGAGAGTTTGCTGTCAGTAGAGGAGGCTCTCAATGCTTGAGTGCCAATAAGGGCACTGAAAAAACTTGGCAACACCTAGGACAAAGCAACCACTTGATTGGCATTCCCATTTACCATCTTAAATTTTCACTCCCTCCACCAACATATAGTGTGTGTGTAATACACAATATTCATTGCAGCAACTTGCAAATAGAATATCAAGCAACAAATACCAAGCAACAAATAAACAAATAGAATCTTCAAATCTGCCATCGCTACCATCTAGATTGACAGGGGCAGCAGATACATGGGAACACCATTATCTGCAAGTTGCTCTCTGAGCTTCATGCTACCCTGATTTGGAACTATGTTGCTGTTCTTTCACCTTGCTAGGTCGAAATCCTGGAACACCCATCCTGGCAGCACTATGGGTGTGCCTACTCTCCACAGACTGTAATAGTTGAAGGAAGCAGCTCACCACCCACCTTCTCCAGGGAAATTTCAGGTGGCACCAAGTATCCCATGATTTAAAATAACAGAAATTATCTCCTTGAGTAGTTGGATAGCTATATCTACACTGCTGCCTCCTTTTGCATAGTCACTCCATTTAAATGGTTCTTCTTTGCTACATAAAGACAAATTATCTATGCTTTACCAACTCAAGTACACAACAGCAACAACCTATCTTCATTTCAGCTCCTCTCTCCTTTCAACTCCTCTGTCCTGATTCCCCCATGTCTCCGACATCCATGCGGCTGAGGAACAGATGGAAAGTGAAGGTAAGTTGTTTAACCAACGCTGATGAAACCAAGAGTTGTCCATCCCTTTTGGTCACATTTATCTGGATCAGATGCATGAGGTGTTTTGTAAAAATGGTTGCATTGATTGAGAAATCTCCGCTTCTCCAATTTCTATCTTTTTGTTAAGCCTGCTTTATGTTAATAACAACACATCTATAATGGTTAATAGGAAGTGAATGAGTGATAAGCTTCTCCACATTAGAATTCCACTTTCCTCTATGTGTAGAGTTATTGAGAACAAGGGCAGCTTACTCAGCAGAATTACCTGAGAATTACTGTCTCCTTGAGGTACTATAGTGAGAGAGCTCAAGATTATTCTCTACATTAATCTGACACAATGGTAGATTCTGTTGCAACAGGACTTAGATATGCCAACCTTTTAGAGGCTTTCATCAAGCTGCTACAAGTTTTCTATTCATCTGTGTCATTATTCTTGATGTTTTTGTTGAGTGTGCATAACAATATTTCCCTTGTTATGTTTCCAAATAGCGTAATATTTGCTTGTGAAGAATGTATATTTTGCTTACTTGGTTTTCCTTCTGTGTTCCTATCTTGGCTCTCTGCTGTGTCACAGCTGTGCTCTTTAGACCAGTTTGATCACATGACCAAAGTTGTTTTTGTATGAAGTTAGCTCATTTTCTTTTAAATGTTACTTTTAAATATACCAAGCAACAACACAGCAACACTTAAACTTGCTTTTCACAACCTCAAAAGTCTCAAGGTGCTTTATAGCTAATGATGTCCTTTTGAAGTGTCTTCACTATTGCAATGCAGAAATCACAGCAACCGATCTGAGTGCATAAGCAGCAATAACAGCACAAGTAGATAATTTATTTGCTGTGATTTTGAATGAGGAATGAAAATGGCCAGGATGCTACAGAGAACACTCCTGCCCTTTGTAGCATGGCATCCTTTACATCCACACGAGACAGCAATCGTATCTCAGCTTGATGCTTTTCTGGAAGTCTGCCTTTCTGTAGATGTTGAAGATCTGGAACAAAAGTGAATAGTCCTGACACTGGAAGCACTGAGCACGTCTGGCAATGAGAGAAATCAGGTTAACATGTCAGGTTAAATTGGAAACAATGACTAAATATTCCCAATCTAATGGAGATGGTGTTGGAGTAGAGCAGTGTCTGGGAAAATGGAGGGAAATTATTTCAGAATGGCTCTTTGATTCAGTTTCCCAGGGAGGTAGGTGGAGAGGAGGGAGTAGAAGGATTGAGGGAGTTGGGATCTGTCCTCTTCACTAAGGCAGGCAGCCAATTTCAATACTTAAAGGCACAGCACAATTTTTATCACCACTTCACATTCCCCCACCTCCTCTACTACTACTCCTGCCATTTGAAGAGGCCATTAACTCAATAGAGGCAGCCTCCCTGCAACACACTGTACTGTGGTTGGATGAAATCAAGCCTGAGGCTCAATCCCACTACGAGGTATTTAGAAATTTACAGAAGAAATGTGGACACTCTCAAAGGGCAAATAAGTTAAAAATGCCAAGCTATTAATTTCTTGAAATGCCTTGCGTTGCACATTCACAGTTTAATTGCCAACTCGAAAGATATTATTAAATGATTGGTTGTCTTTTGTGTGATTCAAGAAAATATTATTTTGTGGGATATGGGAATAATTGGCTTTGCCAGCATTTAATGCCCATTCCTAACTGTTGAGAGGAGAGTTAAAAGAACAACCATACTGTTGAAGATCTGGAGTCACATACAAGCCAGTACGGGTAAGCGAAGCAGATTTCCTTCCCGAGAGAACATGGGTGAAACATAATTGACAATTGGATAGCATTCAATTTCACATTTACCAAAATACAAAATTCTTATTCTACTATTCCAACCCATCTCTTCAGAACAATAGCTGGGGCAGTGAATTACTAGTCCGATAATAACACCACTATATTGCCAACTGCAAGTCTGCTTGCTTTTACAGGGAATTAAGTACTTGATGTGTTCAAAAATTTTGAAGCAACTTTCATAGATGGGAGTGTTTTTCTTTTCAATGTAGTGAAGGCTGTAATAGATACTCAGACCTTTATTTATTTAATGGCTGTCTCCTGAGGTCTGCCTATGGTGGACACTAGTGAGTTGGTATGGAACATGAAGGGGATGAAGGTGTAAAGGATATGAGCATGGGTGGGCATAAATTAGCATTAAGGTGGGATGGGAGTCATAAGACCATGGGTGGTATTGTGGCTTGGCATTAAGCTGGCATGGTTTTATGAAGGACCATAGGTGTGGAAGGGGATGTAGATGTGAGAGATGATGAGGGATGAGGACTAGAGGGCCTAATATTTAACACAACTGGGAAAAATCCAGATGACTGAGGTGTTTTGTTTAAGCATTTCACCTTGACACCCGGCAGCCTGTGTGACCACCTGAGATGTCTGACCAGGATGGCAGACTTTACTCCATTCCACACCTATTACCCCGAAGCAAAAATTGGGGTAATTTTTTTCTTAAGGTAGATGTGGTGTGTGGGAAATTTCCAGCTCCAAACTACCAGCTGTGAGGCTGAAAATCCAGCTCACATTTCAGGTCAATAATCTTCCACCAAGTTTTATTACAGATTTCCAGCAACTGCAATGATGTGCTATTGTATTAATTGACTCAAACTTAGAGACGAGTAACAAAATCACCGCAGCTGTTTAGACATGCATATGGATATCGGACTCTTTTGAATTTGAACTTCATCCTCTGCTGTGAGGGATCCTTTAATTTGTTGAAGAACTTGAAGTTACTAACTGCAGTATGCTTTCCAAACTGATTCATTCCATTAGGCATGAATGTTATCTTTGCCAGATAGAAAAAGAGTAGGAGACATCATGTGAGTTTTAAGCTCCTGTCAAAGATAGGACACATAAGATACAACATTTAAATAGGCTGGAAAATAAAACAAAGGGCTGTGAATGTTAAAAATCTGAAACAGCTGGAGAAACTCAGCAAGTCTGGCAGCATCTGTGGAGAGAAAACAGAGTTTAATGTTTAAGAATCCAGTAATGTGAAGAAGGGTTACTGGACTCAAAACGTTAACTCTCTTTCTCTCTCCACAGATTCTGCCAGACTTGTTGAGTTTCTAAAGCAATTTCAGTTTTTATTTAATTAGACTGACGATCAGAGTAATTCACCACTGAATTTGTCTTCTAACACATATCTCAACTGTTGGTATTTCCAATCAATATAACTAGCATCAGCTTACATAAATTAAGTTTGGCTGACTTTTCACCATGCTTTATACATTCAGGAATTTGAGTGTACTATGTGTAAATTGACAGCCATGTTCCCTTATGTAAATGATTATTCCTCAAAATGTCTTCACTGACTGTAGAGAACTTTAGGACATCCTGTGATTGTGAAAAGTTATTGATAAAGGTAAGCTTTCTTTGCTCAAGAGGATGCTTTTATCTTCCAATACATCATAAATAGTCCATACATAAACTAATGCATGCATTAATACATGTAATCATTGAGCAGGAAATTGTCATGCTTGACGGGGCATCCCATTTCTTGGTATAAACACTCAGAAATCTGAACAACATGTCTCGAATAGGCATTTTAATTGTTGGCTACTTGCAATCTAATAGTGTGAATAAATTGGTGGAGGGAGGGGTGGTGGTTTACCTGATAGTCAATGTTACAATATTTCACCTTGCATTGTTATTGCTGCTTCTAAGTATTATAGAGTCACACAATGTGGAAACAGACCCTTTGGTCCAATCAGTCCATGCCCAACATAATCCCAATCTGAATTAGACCTATCTGCTTACTCCTGGCCTATATCCCTCCAAACCTTTCCTATTCATGTACTTAGCTAAATGTTTTTAAAGGTTGTAATTGTACCCACATCCACCACTTCCTCAGGAAGTTCATTCCACACGCGAACCATTCTCTGTGTAAACAAAATTGCCTCATGTCTTTTTTAAAAATCTATCTCCTCTCACCTTAAAAATGTGCCCTCAGTCATGAAATCTTCCTTCCTAGGGAAAAGATAACTACCATTAACCCTATATAACATCTTTAACATGGTAGATCAATATGTATCAGGCAGGCTCACTGAGAGTAACTGACACCTACAACTGGCATGAAAACAGACTTGATGTTAACTATCCAAAAATATGTGCGCTTTTGGATGATGCTTATAAATCATTCCAGCTTCATTGTTTGGTTTTATCACAACTGAATTTTGTTTTCTTTGTTGGAGTTGTGTCTGTTATTGATGCTCAGTGCCTTTGTTAGGTCTAGATGTGACTGTCCTTATTCACTCTTGGTATATCTGTAATGTTCTGACTTCTGTAAAATTTAGGCCTTCTAAAACTCTAGTGCCTTATCAAAAGTCATAGCAAGTTCCATTCACACCATCATTTGTGCTTGCTGAGGTGCCTTGGCTCCCATTTAAGCAATGCCTTGAAATTTTCAAATAATGAAAGGATAAGTATCTGTGTAGCCTCCTCCAGTTCCACAGTCCTCCAAGATGATTGGGCTTCTCTAATTCTAGTATTTGGAGCATTATCAGTTTTAATTATTCCATAGTTGGCCACCCTACCTTTAGCTGCTCATGAACCTCAAGTTCTGGATTTCTCTTTCTAACCTTGTCTATTTAGCTTTCCTCCTTTTAAGGCACTCCTGAAAATCTACATCTTTGACCAAGCCTTTGGTCACCTAACCTAATGTCTCTTTAAGTGGTTAGGTGTCAAATTTTGCTTGATGCAACTTCTTTTGATATTTCATTACATTCAGGGCTAAATATCTACAGGGCTACGTTAAAACAAAAACTGATCAAAGCATTATTACATTATGATGAAGCCATTATCTGTGTTAGCGCAAAGGTGTAGATAAAAGTTAAACGAGCCACAGATAACACTGATGTTCATTACAGAGTAGAACATATTAAAATATCTGGAATGCAGAACTCACTCTGAATCATTGCACTCATTCATGTTAACTCCTCTTGCATAAATTCAAACTTCTGCTGTCTCATATTGTCTAAATGTCTTCCTTACTATAGGAACAGTGCAATATAATCTCCTGCTTCTTGATCTTCACCAGTGCGTACACTGGTGGCACACTTATATTCTTCTAGGGTAGAATGAACATTTAAAAAAAACGCTCAATGAATGAAACTATAATTTGTCCCATGTTAGTTGAACATTCAACGTGCTCTAAAACTATTACACATCAATTACCAATTAATCAATGTAATTATCAAGTATATGCAAATTTTCCAACATTCCTGCAATCTGTTCTGACCCTCTCAACAGTTAACTGGATTTGTTACATACAAAAAGCAAGTTTATTTAACCTTCATGCCTCCATTCATATTTCAGCTAATTACAAATGCATACATTTAAAGGTGTGTACTATAGTTCTTCAATTCACAGCTCAGCTCATATGAAAGTTGAATACAGAAATGCAAAGCACTAACGGAGACATTCTGGGACACATGGAAAACTAAACACTTGTTCATTTTTTTGTCTTTCAGACTGGGGAGAAACAGAACATCCTCTCACAAAATTTCTTTACTGGGACTCCCTTTACATTTGTGGGTGATGCTATCATTTTACAGTAAGATGAAAAGTTTTGAATATATTTACAATACATACATTGTACATAAATACAAGAACAACACTTACATAAATGTTAGTAAACATGTCACATACTTATTGCCTGAACTAAATAGTGTACAAAGACCAAGAAAAGGAAATCTTCTTCAGAAGACTCAAAAATGGGATTTATTCCTAAAGAATAAAACACTGGTGTTTAAAAACTATTGCAGGATTTACGCTAGTCCTTTCATAAATCAGCCAATTTGTATATTTTCTTCACTAAAGTCACTGGATGCACTTTAGAACAAAAATTAGAAGCCTTCCAATTTAGTTTTCCCCCCCACCACTATTTACAGTCTATGTAAAACTATGACTTTCAAAATACTTTGAACTTTCACATATAATACAATATTTAAAATAGATGTCCTAACTAGTACAGTAAAATATCAGAATGGTTTTTGAGAGTTTGGATGTTAATCCCTGTATAAATTTTTTTTTTCCAACTGAGGCGAATTCAAAGTGCAAGACATTGTGTCTTTGTGGCTTCAAAAGGAGCTGGTAACATTTAAGGACAATATCCATCTTCAAGAAATCATACCTTCATCTTTAAACCTTGGCCTTCACTGGTACTTTTTGTTTTGTTAGTAAGTTCAGGTTTGAGGTTGGTGCTTATTTTGTAAAACACAGTTCAATAAAAGGTATTTAATAGTGTGTGGAATGGGCATTTTCACAAGGTCGGCTGCTTGAGGCAACCCCTGTGGAATTTGCAGAGGGAGAATTAAGATGTTAAAGTTCATTGTTCTGTCCCTTACAGTGGTGTTTGTCAGTTTCATGTGAAGGCCAACAGTATACTCCCTGAAGAATCCTGCCCCGTGAGGTGGGAAAGGGTTTAATACTTTTAACATTATTGACAATTTGTGCAACACAAGAATGAACTCGGCACTGTTAGTACTCCAATTTCACATTTGTACAAACATGTTGTCTCGACGAGAAGACAAGTAGAAATCAGCGGTTCAGAAGAAAGATGCCTCCGACTTTTTTTTTCTTCTTCACGTGATATAACGTCACATTAATCGGGTTAGAAGATGCTACTGTCAGGCTTAAAACATTGATAAATACAGCACAGAGCTGTTCTTATCAGTTTTTTTTGACTTTGCTTTTTTTTTCTAGAAATATTGCTGTCTTAAAGCAGATGATTGGAATGACCTGTCATCTACTGTACATACGATTTTACAAAGTAGATTTGAACCAGTCAAGAAAAAAAATGGATAAACACTCATTTTAAAAAAGAAACTCATGTTACTTCCCCCCCACCACAGTGAGGTGAAAGGGTTTAATCGTGCCTGTGTCATTTAAGACAGTGATCACTTAAAGAAGATCTACTAGATACAATGAACTTTATGATTAGATGCTGCAACTGAAACCCAGCCAAATGGATCGTAGTTCTTACTTAACGAACAGTTAAGTAAAAAGGAATCTATTTTCATGCACTTCAAATCTGTACAGTAATACACCATAATATAGAAACTCCTAATAATGACCAACTCTGGAGAGCTGCAGCAAATTTTTCAATGGTAAAATTAAGCAATAATTGATGAAATAACTTCACATTTTCTCCCATGATCTCTGTTTGCCATCTGCAGAACCTCCTTCCTATTTTCACCTTTCATTTCGTGTTGAGTATTATGTGATCCAATGAACAGTGCCAGTAACCAATACATGAGGAAGCACACAATTGTTTGTGGTTTAGATGCTACACTTGTGAAAGATCCTGTGGCAGTAGATAATCACACCAACAGCATCAAAGTCCAACAAATAGAGAATCATGTCAATGTGAAACAGGAATTATGCTATATATTGACCAGACTACCATTGTTAAAGGCCAAATAAACACTGCACCTAATCATAAATTTGCTTTTGAATAACACCGTGTCAACATTATAGTTCTTTTTATGTCATAGTTCTGCAAGATACTATCTGCTGTTGGAAACACAATTAAAATGAAATAGGGCTTCTGGCATTTATGATAGCCCACTGAATTTAATTAAAATCTAGGATAGGCTTACAGACTTCTAACAGAACCAATAACCCTCAGCTCAAAAAAAGAAAAACCATATTCCTAATTTGTACATCAGATGGTTTGTTAATACATTTCGTTTATACCATGTAATACATCCCTATGTAAATGAAAGGAAAGTAAAACTGGATTGATGTAGTTCTTGTGAGAAATGCACAATTCCTGGTGAGAGTGCAGTCATGCAGGTGATAGGATACTTCAAAAAAGCATAAGCACCAAGTTATAGCGCACTATGATGTATAACAAGTTACCGAAGCTATAATGCCTCTATTATCCCCTCTTCTCTCCCCCCCCCCCCGTCCCACCCATCCCCAGTTTATGTAGCCCAGTACAGATCACTGCAGCGGTTGTAATTCTTCAACTAAAGGAGGGGTTTTCATTGATTCTGTTGCAGAATAATAACCTGTCCATCACGATCCATGACACTGCACTGGCATATAATTCACTTCATCAAGTATGGACTATTCTGTCCTCCATGCACTAATTTTTAGAGCATGTGTATGGAGTAGAGGAAAATATTATCAAGTCTTTATCCTCTTGTTGCTTACCATTTTTCAAAAGCGGTCTCTAAAATGGATAGAGCTTTCTGAATGAGTATAAAAACAGGTGGAATAGAAACAATAGGTTAAATTAAGTTCAGTACTAAATACCAGCCTGCTAGGTTTATCCAGTAGTTGATGAATCCTAGTAATGATAAGTTGATTTAAAATGAGAACTTTTTTTGTTTTAAAATTGCAGCAACTCATTATGAATAGCCTTGGACAAGACACAGGCCAAACCAAAATAATCAAAATTGCCAAATCACTGACAGTTGGTTTTGACTGTCAGCAGTGGGAAAAATTAGAGTGCTCTTTATCTTGTTCTCCTTTTGGACGATTGGAGATGTCTCCTCAATCAATGCTCTTGATAATTCAGCCCAGCTGAATTCCAGGGGTCGAGGGGGTGTGGGGTTTGGAAGAGATCCTGCTCCGTTGCCCCACTGTTTTTCAAATCACTTTCAAACAAGCATGTGTCTTCGACGATGCAGTGCCAGGTGATCTGAACGTGAGAAACTACGGTCACAGTCTGCACACTTGAAGGGTTTCACCCCTGTGTGCTTGCGGTAGTGCCTTGTCAGCTCATCTGAACGAGCAAATTTCCACGTACAGCCTTCCCATGTGCACTTATACGGTTTTTCACCTAAAATTAAGCATACATAAGTCAAGTTAAAATTATTAGCTGTAATTTCTAGTAATGACTATATCTATCATCTTGAAAACATCTTTAAAAAACACAATTCAATTAAATCATGTCACTTCTGAAGACTATTTCTCTGCAAAGTAATAAAATTGCTTTAATTCTAATATTGAAATCATTATCAGAATCTACCACAGAAGAACAACACATTGAATTATATTGCACAGAGAGGGGCGATTTGGATCTGCCAGCTCTCTGAAGGAACGTTCCAATTAGTCCCACCAAGCTGCTCTTTGCCGAGAGCTCTCTATCTTCTTTCTGTCCGAATACCAGTCCAATTTCCCAGTTCTAAAATCATGGAATTATAGAATGATTACAACACCAAATCAGGATCATTTTGCCCATTGACAGCTGTTGCAAGAGAAATTCAACACGTCACTCTGCTTCCACTTCCCCATAGCCCTGAAAACATTCCAGATCCTAACCATTCTCTGCAGAACAAAAGCTTCTCCTCATATTGCCATTGCTTCTTTTTGCCAATCATTTAAAATCTGCGCCCTCTGGTTCTTTCCTTCCACCAACAGGAACAATATCTCCCTACTCATTTTTCCTGCCCGTTAGCCAATTCTCTATCCGTGCCAATATACCACCTCCAACATCATGGGCTCTGATCTCATGACATAACCTTTTGTGAAGTACCTTGCTGAATGCCTTCTGGAAGTCCAAATACAACACATCTACTGATTTCCTTCTATTCTCTCTGGTTGGGACTTTCCCAAGAAAATCTAATAACCTAGAAACATAGAAAACAGGTGCAGAAGTAGGCCATTTGGCCCTTCAAGCCTGCACTACCATTCAATACAATCACGGCTGATCATGCACTCTCAGCATCCCACTCCCGCTTTCGCTCCATACCTCTTGATGCCTTTAGCTGCTAGGGCCACGCCCAGTTCCCTCCTGAATATATCTAATGAACTGGCCCCAACAGCTTCGTGTGGGAGAGAATTCCACAGGTTCACAACTCTGGGTGAAGAAATTCTTCCTCATCTCAGTCCTGAATGGTTTATCCCTTATTCTTAAACTGTGACCCTTTGTTCTGGGCTTTCCCAACATTGGGAACACTTCGTGCATAAATTAGTTAAACACACTTTTTTTTCCCTTTATTCATTAACGGGATGAGGGTGTCAGTGGTTGAGCAGCATTTTTTAAGCTGTCCCAATTGCCTAGAGGGCAGTTCAGAGTCAGAGTCAGTCACATTGCTGTAGGTCTGGAGTTACATGTAGGCCAGACCAGGTAAGGATGGCAGTTTCCTTCCCTAAAGAACATTAGTGAACCAGATGGGTTTTTTTGACAATTGACAATGGATTCATGGTCATCATTAGATTCTTAATTCTAGATATCTTAATTCCATGTATCATGAGTTCCTGTCATACAGACACACAGAGATCTAGGTTAAGCAGTGTTGTAGGTTAAAACTTGTTTTAATGTTCAGCTTAGGCAACACAAACCTACAATGCTATGTTGATGTCAAATTTAGCTTGCAAAGGGGTTAACTACTGAGGCAGCTAGCAGTATTATTTCTGCACGGTGGACCTGCAGTCTCAATACAAATCAGAGGTTAGTACGTACACCTAAAAGAAGTTAGTTGCAAAGGTGAGTCCATAACGAAAACAAAAATTGCTGGAAAAACTCCTCAGCCTGTGGAGAGATAGCGGAATTAACATTTTGGGTCAAGTGATCCTTCCTCAGAATTTCAGGACATTGCACCGGAAACTTTAACTCTGCTTTCTTTTCACAGATGCTGCCAGGCCTGCTGAGCTTTCCCAGCAAATGCTGTTTTTGTTTCCGATTTCCAGCATCTGCAGTTCTTTGGTTTTTTTTTTGTGAAAATGAGTCCATGTTTGTGTTGATAGTAAATCACATCTTGTTGTTTTCCATAATGAAGGAGCTTAGGGAAATTGGTTGTATTTATTGTGAAAACTGTGCAGTGTCCATCTATTTTTGGATAAATAAATCAGTTTGTGGTTTGCTGCCAAATCTTGTCTTGAAGTCAGATATCTTAATGAAGACTCACGTGATATATTATAGTCAAAAGACCTCTCTCTTTCCTGAGATGGTAGGAACTGCTGATGCTGGAGAATGAGATAACGAGGTGTAGAGCTGGACGAACACAGCAGGCCAAGCAGCATCAGAGGACCAGGAAAGCTGACGTTTTGGGTCTAGATCTCTTTCCTGATCTTCCGCTCTCTGACATTGGCCTTCATGCCTTCAGCTGTCTGTAGGCCTTAAACTGAGATACTTCGATAAACTTCCCCAAGATTCCTTTAGGATGCTTCTTACTATCTGGCTTTTTGGTTCACCTGTCCTAATATCTCGTGTGTCCTGGTGTCAAATTTTGATTGTTGATGCTTCTCTGAAGTATTTTGGAATGTTTTGCCATGTTAAGTATGCCGTAAAAATGCTAATTATTGTTACTATTGCTGGGCTGTCCTCTTGTTTAAAAACTGAAAGAACTGCGGATGCTGTAAATTAGGAACAAAAACAGAAGTTGCTGGAAAAGCTCAGCAGGTCTGGCAGCATCCGCGGAGACAAATCAGAGCTAACGTTTTGGGTCCGGTGACCCTGTCCTATTGTTTAGTTAGATTTGGACAGTAAAGGTGGACTCTGGATTAAAGAGGAGGAAAGAGCTGCCAACAGAGCAACTTAATCTACAAGAATATCTGGCACTTAAAACAAAACTGATAGTTTAAACCAAGCCCTGCAGTAATCCAAGGCTGATGAGTTCACCAATGCCATCCCACTATCTTGTGGTCTTCAGTTTAGTGTCAGAGACTTTGAGATTTTCCCTGCAGCCTGTCAACAAGAAAGTTGCCACACTGGCAGGTACCATTGCTGGATTGCTTTTAAAAATAAAATACAAATATATTTTTATGTCTTCTGATGTGCACATTTGTTTAATTTAACATAGAGTGATGCTGAAACAGTGGAAGTTATTACAGTAAAGGGAGCTATAGCTTACAAACACATTGGCACTGAAAGAGACCGGTTTAACCTCTTATATTTCAGTGGGCCTAAATATATCGCCCTGTTAGTGTCTGTACAAGTGTCCAAAGCATATCCTTTTATTTCAGGGCCAGAATGTGAAGTCAGTCCGAATGCTGATTTATTGGTTTTGCTGGACAAACCAGCTCGGGATCTACAGTAAGTAGAAACAAAATGTATTGCCAGAAGTGTCAGCATGAAAGAGGCCTCGTTTCAGGGCAAGGTCAGAAATCACACGACAGTCCTCCACAGTCCAACCCCGGCACCTCCACTTCGTTGTTTCAGGTCAACGTGAGTCCCAACTGCAACAGCAGTTACATTACTCGGTTTATCCGGCAGTTAATTCCATACAAAGCAGCCGCAGTTTTCCAGAGGGACATACTTCCCTAACATCCTATCACATCTCTTTGTGACTATCTCACAGCCATTTGTTTGTCATGAATTACTTAAAAGTAACAGACGAGGTGGTAAGTGCAAGAACTATTGTGTACAAACAAATATTAGGTCTGTTTATTTTTCATTACAAAAGGTGATATAGAATATTAGCCAAAACACCCACAAACCTCCTGCTCTTCTTCCCATTAGTGTCAAACAGCCTTTCCATATCCAGCTACATTTGAATGCAGAGTTAAATAGTCTGTTTGAAGATGCAGCACACCCTCAGCATTACCCTGCATGCCAGATTTTGCACTCTAGGTTAGGAGTGGACTTTGAAGCCTCAATCTTTTAGCTCATACGTAAAAACACTACGACTGTAGCAAAATGTCAAAATATTGCAACTTGTAGGTGCATTGAAAATCTGTCTAAGTGTGTGATTTTTTTCTGTGATAGGTCGCTATTAAATGTCTTGTAAAACAAGATTAAACCCTCTGACTACCAGGTATTAGAGTCTGAATATTTAGTTTGAGCTAAAATATTGTGGGCTCAGTTCTTACTGCAGGATGGTGTAAGGAAGTCTGAACACAAAACAGTAACCTACTTACTTATAAACTGAAAAGGCCTTACTCTTGTGCCTCATAATCCTAGCAGGGAGGGTAAATAAAAATTAAGTGATCAAACTAAGTAGCCTTTTGAGTGAGCTGCAATAAATTTGTATATACATCATTGATAGTTCTTCCAAGTAAACCTGAGTCGTCATAGTACTGAAGATTTGTGCTCCAGAACTTGTCACTCCCCTAGCCAAGCTGTTTGTTCCAGTACAGGTACAACACTGGCATCTACCTGACAATGTGGAAAATTACCCAAGTCCTGTACATAAAAAGCAGGACAAATCCAAACCAGCCAGTTACTGCCCCAGTCTACTTTCAATCATCAGTAAAAAGGATGGAAGGTGTCAAAGGTGCTATCAAGCAGCAATAACATGCTCAGTGACCCCTGTTTGGGTTCCGCCAGGCAACTCAGCTCCTGACCTCATTATAGCCTCGGTTCAAACATGAACAAAAGAGCTGAATTCCAGAGGTGAGGCGAGAGTGATACCAAGGCTACATTTGACCAGCTGTGGCATCAAGGAGCCCTAGAAAAACTGGAATTATTGGGTATCAGGTTGTAAACCCTCCAGTAGTTGGAGTCATACCTGACACATAGGAAGATGGTCGTGGTAGTTGAAGGACAGTCATCTCAGCTCCAGGACATCTCTGCAGCGGTTCCTCAGGGTAGTGTTCTTAACCCAAACATCTTCTGCTGCTTCATCAACCAGCTTCCATCCATAAAGTCAGAAGTGGGGATATTTGCCAATGATTGCACCATGTTTAGCACCATTCACAACTCCTCAGATACTAAAGCGTTGCATTTGAAAATGGACAAAATCTGGACAATATCCAGGCTTGGGCTGACAAGGGGCAAGTAACATTTGCACTACACAAATGCCAGGCTATGACCATCACGAATAAGAGACAATCTAGCCACCTCCCCTTGACATTCAATGGTGCTACCATCACTGAATTCCCCCACTATCAAGATCCTGTGGGTTACCATTGACCAGAGACTCAACTGGACTTGCCACATTAACACAGTGGCCACAAGAGCAGGCCAGAAGCTGGGAATACTGCGGCGAGTAACTCATCTCCTGCCGCCTCAAAGCTTGTCCACCATCAACAAAGCACAAGACAGAAGTGTGATGGAATACTCCCCACTTGCTTGGATGAGTGCAGCCCCAACAACATTAAAGAAGCTTGACACCGTACAGGACAAAGCAGCCCGCTTGATTGGCACTACATCCACAAGCATTCACTCCCTCCGCCATTGATGCTCAGTAGCAGCAGTGTGTACTATAAGATGAACTGCAGAAATTCAAAGATCCTCAGACAGCACCTTCCAAACCCACGACCACTTCCACCTAGAAGGAGAAGGGCATCAGATATATGGGAACACCACCACCTCCAAGCTCCCCTCCAAGTCGCTCACTATCTTGACTTGGAAATAGATCATCGTCCCTTCACAGTTGCTGGGTTAAAATCCACGAATTCCCCCCTCCTAAAGGCATTGTGGGTCAACTCTCAGCAGGTGGACTGCAGCGGTTCAAGAAGGCAGCTCACCACCACCTTCTCAAGGGCAATTAGGGACGGCAATAAATGCTGACCAGCCAGTGATGCCCACGTCCCACAAATAAAAATAATTTTAAAAATCTGAATTATGACCTACATCATCAATGCTCTCTCTCCGTACAGATGGGTAAAATATATATTTGAAATGCTAATGGTTCCTGGAACCATTACTACAGTGAGAGTTAAATCAGTAAATGAAGCATTCTTTGTCATAGTTGGTTTGTTGGTAAAGGAGCTGGGGGCAACGAGGGGAGGGGGAAGGTGAAGAATATTTTTCCTCGCTCACTCGGTCGTTGTGATCTGAATGAGTTGCTTGAAAGGGTGGTGAGTGAAGATTCAATCATAGCGCTCGACAGGTAATAAGATACATGCTTATAAAGGAGAGAAGAAAATTGCAGGGCTATGGGGCATCAGCAGGAAGTGAGAGGTGGCATGGGTATGGTGGGCTCCTTCTCTGTCTAATGATTCTATGGAAACTAATCATCCCAAATTTTTAAAAAAATTAAAAAAAAAAGATTTTTTGTAGCAAAGTTTAGGAGCTCTCATGTCCAGATAGACCTGCGAGATTTCGATGTAAGTAATGTCCAAAGGTGGTCAGGAGTTCACACAGCCTGAAGTCTCATACAGGTCTGACAACTTTGCAATGTGTAACTGTGTTTGAAGTTATACGTGTAAGACACAGAGCTTCAGGCATTGAGAATCAAAAAGAATGTGGCACAGACAGATCAAGCAACCCATAATCAGTAAACTCCATCAATTTCATTAAATCTGAGAAACCGTGGAGGAAACTGCTTGAACCTTGTCAATTAGTATGATTCTACCCAGATGCAATGAGGAATTATTTTCAGACCAATCATAGCGTCCCTTGTGAAGACTTTAAGACAATTTATCCTACAGAAATTTTGCAAAAAATATGCAAGATGGGCTAAAATACAATTTTCTGATTCCAGGAAATGGTTTAACAATGGTCCTAATCAAGTATTTGCTTTTAAAATGCATATTCAGTACAAGAATAAAATCTAGGAGTTGGATTTCAATCCATCACCAGGTGCGAGATTGTGGGCTTACGTGTTTTGCAGGTGGTGCCACCATGGTCACATTCCAGTTTTAAGTCTTGTGGGGTTTCCAACTTTGTTCAAATGCACTTTCAGAAACATATGATCTTTCTCCGCCAACCACCAGCCTTCAAAAGACTGCCATTAGTCAGCTGACATATGGCACACTGCATGAAGTGGGACTAAATCATTTGTTCCTTCAGAGAGAAGGCACTGTACAATTAGAAATTGTAAAGAAACAGATTCCTCATTATCTGACTGGATCATTTTTGACTTGTCAGCCAAACAGTGTCTAATATTTTTGCATCTAAGCAACAGAAGTGTTCAAAGAAGATGAAGCACAATCTTTTTTTTGTTAAGAATGCCCCTATGATATTTCTTTCAGCTTGTTTGCAGCAGCCACCTTGCGGCTGGTAAACTGCCCTTAAACCCCAGGAAGATTGGCAATACCAGCCTCAGCTCCCAAAATTACTCCCTCATGCTGAAACCAATGGTATGCAGAAGCCACAGCAGTGACAGGGATGTAGTGACGGAATGCCACATTCCCATCAGGAAAGCAAAATTGAGAAAATGTTTGCGTGTCATGAAATAATTCATTTTCATTCACTTATTTCCGTATTTCTCAATTCCTGAAGGTCATGATTCAGGCTGAGGTATGAATTTCCATTGTTGCTGCTTCCCTGTTATTTTCATAAAGCCACTTCTTCTTGCGTGGCTATGGATTATAACGACTGGTGAAGCAGAGATTTCAGGACTCACTGGATAGTTTCAAGTGATAGGACACATTGTCAATCATTCTCCTTCCTAACAATAGGCATATGAGGCTAATTTAGTTCTGTGATTCCTGAACATCTTCCCTCAACCATCCTTGAGGTTATTGAGGATGCCCACTCAATATAACTCAATGATTGAATCAGACCTGTTCCTACTCAGAATGGTTTTACTGCCTGATCAAACATGCAAAATGATAGAGATAGTAGGAACTGCAGATGCTGGAGAATCTGAGATAACAAGGTGTAGAGCTGGATGAACACAGCAGGCCAAACAGCATCAGAGGAGCAGGAAGGCTGACGTTTCGGGCCTAGACCCTTCTTCAGAAAAGAAGGTCTAGG